TTTGAATTTTATATTTTAAGGTTGTGCGTTTTTGTACAAATATAGTAATAAGAGAATTCTTTTTTACTGGTAGGTTTTCCGTCAATGTGGCATGAACTGTATTGTTCAATAATTACTGGAATTTTTGTATGAATGATTCATGTAATTATAAATTAAAACTTTTAACCTATAAACGAAATATATATATATATATATATATATATATATATATATATATATATATATATATATATATATATATATATATATATCAGACCCGGGTTCGAATCTCAGTATGGTCGATATGTCAGGAATTAAACTTCCTAATGTCATCGGGCTGGATCAATGTCAATCCCAGCACGCGGCACCTTTGGAAAGTGCCTGAAAACCATACCTAAACCTTTTAGTTGAAGCGGTGTGGAATGTCAACATCTTGATTATGTCATTATTTTCTTTTCAAATTACATGTGCTATCCATTTTAATTGTTGCTGCTTTTGGTTGTCCTCAAGTGATGTAGTTTTTGTTATTTGTTACAGTTCTTTGTTTGTGATTCTGTACCGCCAAATCCAGGAGTGTTCGACGGCATATGGCCCTCTAAGATCTACAGGTTTCATTCATACAAAACCATTTTTAATCTTTAATCTTAGAAAGCAGTTGTATACAGATGAGAGTTTAGATATTTCGGAACAGATCTGATGCCATCCATAAAAAAGTCTTGATCTGACAAGGCCATTTAAAAAATAGCTTAAGTTAGAAATATTGTTAGAAAAGCAAACAGAATGGAGAAATGTTGCCTTCCAGTGGAGTGCAGGAAAACTCAACATCACTGATTGTTATAATTCCCGTATTGATGGGGGATTTCCTTCCTAACTTTAATAGTAGATCAACATCTTCATTATGACATTGTTTTCTCTCCATGCCTGTTGTACCCTAGGAAGGGTTATTGAATGATGAATAATGAAAACGGAAGTTGGAAATGAAATGATAATCTTTATAACATCAACAAAATACAATACTCACCAGTGACATGAAGTAGGTAAACCACTTCTAGTGGTGGACTTCTTAGAGAGTATATTACTCCCACTGACAATACTGTCCAATATATTTATGAGGATTGGGTTTAGTGTTCATAGGTACGGTATATAACATCCCCCTTTTTAGATTTACTCTGCGCATGTATCTTTTCCTTTTCGGGTTAATGTCGATTCTATTTGTCTCTCTTCTCTTCCTTTTACTTTGCCATTTTTTTCTCAGGAACTTTCCAAGGAATGGGTAAATCAAATGTGTTGAAAAGAACTTCCACAGGCTCAACATCCACTGGAGTATCGTTCTCTTTATCTATGTCTACTTTTTGTTTGATTCAAGTGCCTTTTGTGCAAGATTTTTGCTATTCTATAATGACCACAGCCCTCATTTGGGGTCAACCTTGCGACACAAATTCTGACATTTTGAATATCAAAATTTGATTATGATGAGGTGAAAAAAAATATATGAATGATCTGCGTATATTCTTAAGCAGATCATTCATCTAAAGCAAAATGAGGGTTAGTCCAAGAAGTGACCCCTGGGGGACGCCTGCGTTGACCGCCAGTGCCCGTGGGGTACTGGTTGTTAATAACTACCTTCAAAGACCTACTTTTTAGGAAGGGCTTTATAATTGATAATTTGACCCTTCCAATGATTCCATATCGATCTTTCTAGTATTGACTGTCCTGGATATGACGATAAACAACCTCCGCGTCCTGGGTAAGGCGATAAACTACATCCAACAGCAAGGCCTCTGATCAGGAGGGTTTGAGGAGCGTGGAACCACTTCTTAAGTGTTGATGTTCCCAAGTCCACCCTGACCAGGGGTGGTAGCACCTGTTAGGGTCCTAGTTATGGGCAAATAGTTAACCCCCAAACTGGGGTCAAAGTACTATGAAAAGTGTAAAAATCAAGTGCCTTTTTTTTGCACCATTTTCGGTTCTTTGATTGATCAGAGGACGAAACGCGTTTGCTTCCTCTGTGTTTATTTTTGTGTTATATCTCGTGCAAGATATAATAAACAAAGTAAACCCGAGTGTTGGTTTTCAATAATAATTTTATAATCGGATGTAGGTGTGTTAATACAGAGACAGAGTTGGGAGTATGCTAACCTCAATAGGTGTTAACAAACGAAGACCTTTCTTGACTGTCCGCTGTGGTCGTACTTAATCGGCAACCAGTCCGTCCATTATCGTGAATGGGGAAGTTGGGTTATATCATAACAGCAATTTGTTTCCCTGTGGTTTGCTTAAAAAGGAAGGTAATTTCAAACCGTGGCTGAGATTAAGGAGAACGCGCCGAGACAGCTGTCGGTAATCCCAAGAACGAAATTTGTAGACTGTTTTGAAAAGTGGTGATTATGTTTTGAAAGTGTGGATTATGGTTTGAAAAGTGTGCGCGGCCCCAAGAGAAGTACCTTGAAAGCGACAAAGGTCCCTTTCTTCTAGGCTGGCTATTTTGGCGTTAATGTTGTAGATCACGTAGATAAAACAACTGCGAAAATAGGAATTTATGATTGGGAAGAAAATTTTGAATAACTAGCTGTAATGCTAGAAAACAAACAAAAAAAAAAAAGATCACTTGAAAAAAAAAAAATTCGTGAAAAACAATCTACTTTCGCGATCATCGGATGTACCCGAAAAACGTGTCTGATTAAAGGACCCGGTCGGTTTGATTCAGGCGTTTCAGTTTGCTTAATAGCGAACGGTCCGATTACGAAACTCTGAATGGTTTTCAAAAGGTGAAATGAAACACGATAGTTTTTGGAGTAGATGAGCCACGCATTATACAAAGAATCGGGAGATGAATATATTACAGTAATTCAAGGTATTAATGTTGTAACTCAAGATTATTGGGAGGAGAAACGTCCGTGAATAAAAATCCTTAAGTGCTTACACTTACTGAAATGAGTAACTTTATTCAAAATTGAAGTCACGGACGTACTCACATCATTCAGTCCGGTACAGAAATCTCTTACACTAGCTGTTTTTGTTTGTTTTGTTTTACGGCATATCAACCTCAATGGGTCATTTAATGACGACAACTTTTTCTTTTCTTTTTTTCCTGGTAATATTTTTGTTTTGTCAAAAATCTATTTCTGTTAATATTTTTTCCTCAAAAACGTATAGCTGGTAATATTATTTTTTTCAAAAACGTATAGCTGGTAATATTATTTATTTTTGAAAAACGTATAGCTGGTAATATTATTTATTTTTGAAAAACGTATAGCTGGTAATTTTTTTTTTCAAAAAAGTATAGCTGGTAATATTTTTTTTTTCAAAAACGTATAGCTGGTAATATTATTTGTTTCAAAAACGTATAGCTGGTAACATTATTTTTTTTTTTTGCTACGTATAGCTGGTAATATTATTTATTTTTTTAAAAACGTATAGCTGGTAATATTATTTTTTCAAAAACGTATAGCTGGTAATATTGTTTTTTCAAAAACGTATAGCTGGTAATATTATTTGTTTCAAAAACGTATAGCTGGTAACATTTTTTCAAAACGTATAGCTGGTAATATTATTTATTTTTCAAAAGCGTATAGCTGATAATATTATTTTTTCAAAAACGTATAGCTGGTAATATTATTTTTTCAAAAACGAATAGCTGGTAATATTTTTGTTACTTTAATCTATTTTTTTTTTTTTTTTTTTTTGCAAAAACGTACAGCTGGCAACATTATTTTTCCAAAAACGTATTATCAGAGGCCTTGTTGTTGGACGTAGTTTATCGTCTTACCCAGGACGCGGATGTAGTTTATCGTCATACCCAGGACGCAGCTGTTTTTTACATTCAAATAAACCATTGACAAGGAAAACAAAATACAGACTAAATTCTGGATGATACTTTTTTTTGTTTTTAGCTTACATGAATGAAGACAAAAATTAGGGATAAGATTCCAAGTGAAATAAAATAAAATGAAGATTGCCACGTAATCAAATTCAAAGCATCGCGACTTTTTTTTTCTCCCACTTATAAATCAAAAGTTATAATTACATGAACTTGAAAGTACGAATATATTAACTATATTTAATCATTTCACCCCACACAAGGCAATAAAGCCACTAAAACTTAAGGGTTTACTAAATGTGAGAGAATATGAGATAAAAAAAAAACGCTATTAAGTAGAGGAAACAATAAAAAAACAAGGCATTAAAAAGACAGAAGATAACGATTGACATTGCATTTAAATTGTTAAAGATCAAATTTGATTGGGGAAGTAGGGAACCGGAAGAGAGTTCCACAAATGAGAAGTGCGAGAGAAGAAACTGCTAGCATAGAACTTACGGTTACATGTAGTCATTTCAATTATAAAAGGAGGAGACCTTGCCGCTAATCTATAACTGCGCTTAAATTTATAAATCTAAGTAGTAAAGAGGAAAGTATTGAAATGATTGACCATCGCTACCAAAACAATTCTGTTATGACCGCGGACAATAAAAGAACAATATTTAAGAAGACAGAAAATTACGATTGACATTGCATTTAAATTATTAAAGCAACAAACGTGAAAAGAGTTCCGCAAACGCTGAAGTGTGAGAAAAGAAACTGTTAGTAGAGAACGTACGGTTACATCTAGTCATTTCAATTGTAAAATGATGAGACCTATCCGCCAATATAGTACTGAGCTTAAATTCATAGTCTAAGTATCATAGAGGATAGCTAATTAGAACAATTACCATGAAAGTATTTATAGAAGAGAACACAGGGAGGCTACGTTACGTTGGTGGGAAAGTGACTGACGCTGAGATGCCAGGTCAGGACAAATAATATTGCATATTCTTCTTTGGATTTTATCAAGAATCTCTAAGTATATATAGAGAAACACTAGTCCATAGGTGACAGCAGTATACAAAGTATAGGCGAATGGTAGATAAATTCTGGCGAGAAAAATTGTCTAGCTCGACACACTGAACCAACTTTCCTAGCAGCAGACCTAGGAATTGGCCCAATATAATTTTTTCCACATTATGCCAGCAGAGAATGTTACTCCCCTAGAGGTTAGCATTAGCCATGCTGACGGAAGGCAAACACAGTTCTCTCCAATGATTGATGGAAAGCAGTTTCGTTTTGGAGGCATTAAAATTAACAAAAGAATCCTTGCCCCAGTTAAGAACAGATTGTAGGTCTTCTTTTTTTTTTTTTTTTTTAGATCAGCAGCTAATGTAACTTTAACGATCTGATCAATCTTTCTATTAAGAGTGGCGTATATATTTCTTTCATCAGCATAGTTACTGAGTTAAGAACTGATGACACCCGGGAGGTCGTTGAGGAAAGTACGAGGTACTAACATGTGCACTGGGTCATGTTTCTTTGGAAAAAAAAATACGAAAAGAAAGTAAATAATAACGAAATTATTCGTTGTGTTTTAATTAATTTGCATATTGGTGTATGGATCATTAAGCTGATTAAAATACGATAATTCGTGGAATATTTTCCTTGTTGTTAGCAAAGATTGAAACTGAGGGTAAAAAAAGGTGTAGATAGATATGAAGAAATATAGATAGATAGATAGATAGATAGATAGATAGACAGGCATGAAGAGACTGAGATAGATAGATAGATAGATAGATAGATAGGCAGGCAGGCAGGCAGGCAGGCAGACAGACAGACAGACAGGCATGGAGAGACTGAGATAGATAGATAGATAGATAGATAGATAGATAGATTTGAAGAGACTTAGATAGATAGATAGATAGATAGATAGATAGATAGATAGATAGATATGAAGAGACTGAAATAGACCATATTCATCGGTATATGTTTACTGGGTCATATTTCATTGGAACATTACGAAAAAAAAGTAAATAAAAACAGAATTATTCGTTTTATTTCAATTAATTCGCACAAGGGTGTATGATGTGATTTGTGTACATTAAGATACGCTTCGAGCAGCTATGATCGTTCAGGAAAGATCGTGGAAAATGTGTTGTTTAAAAACAGTAACTTTGTTAACCTGACTCTTCATTTGTAGCTAAATATTATTGCATGCCACTTCTGCGTAGGATACAGGTTCGATTCCCGTCGGAGGACATATTTTCTATGAGTTTTCTCGGACATTCAAGTCGGTAAATGTAGCCGATACTTTTTATTATAAACAGTGCATTTGCTTAAATATTATATTACAATAAAATAACGTATAAAGAAAAAATACATTAAAATAGATTTGTATACATCGCCAACAAAATGAATTCAAACTCTGATAAATTTTATTTTTAGTATTTCCCGTACGTGAGTAAAAGCTAAACATTAACTCTGCCTTTCCTACTGTAAAGATTAAACATGCCTAATCGAAATCGTGAGAAGTTTAACTTGGTAACGCGATAAGGTAAAGGTATGTGTGTCTGTCTGTGAAACGTAATCTTTGAATTGAAGGCAAAGCAACATTCGTTCCTGCTCATTTTGCAATAATATTTTCAGTAAAAGCTAGAATACAATTCTCCATAAGCTAAGAATTATTTTCATCAGTCAGGTTAGTTTTATGCTAACAGTTTCTTCTCTCGTACTTCTCGCTTGTGGAACTCTCTTTCGGTTCCATGATTTCCAGCCAATTTTTTTTTTGTTTGTTTTATTCTTTCCAGCTCGGGAACCCATTGTATCACTGTGACTTTACTACCTTCTATGGGGTGAATTTATTTTAAAAAAATAAACTTGATTTTCATCGCCCCAAGAATTATGACGAAGATGTTAACACAGAACGTAGACGACCTACTAATTAATTCTAATGGCGATGATGGGATTGACCGTTTCCATGCAGGAAATATTAGCCGTTTATTAATCGAACAGTTAACGTTCCTGTAGATCGAAGTTCCTGAAACGTTTTCCTTAAAATAGTTTTTTTCAGTAAAGTCCACTAACTGCTACCGCTTTTCCAGCATTGATGGAAGTTTCCTTCCCAACAATTTGTTTAATGTAGTGTGGAATATCAACATTTTGATTATCTCATTACTTTATCTTCTAGATACATTTCCGTCCTGGGTATGACGATAAACTTCATCCGCGTCCTGGGTAAGATGATAAACTACATCCGTGTCCTGGGTAAGACGATAAACTACGTCCAGCGGCAAGGCCTCTGATCAAGAGGTTTTGAGGAGCATGGAACCACCTCTTAATTGCTGGTGTTCCCAGGTCCACCTTGACTCGGGGTGGTAGCACCTGTTACGGCCCCAGCTATGGCAGATAGTTAACGCCCAAACTTGTATAAAAATAGGTTTTAATACCAGAAATACTTTGTAATAAAATATTATTACTAGCAATAATTTTTGAAGGAAAATTATTATCAGCAGTACTTAAAAAAATACCAGTAATAAAAACAGGTTTACATTCTTAAGAAGTTGGATTGTACTCAAAAATATGAGGAATTGAAAAATGGTTCAAATATATATGTATACATACACACCCTTTTTATCCAATTAACGCTATGAGTCTATTTTTAAAAATTGTTGGCATTAAATGACCCACTGTGGTTTTGATGGGCCTTAAAACAAAGCAACCTACCAACTAGATACATATGCTATCCATTTTAATTGTTGCCATTAAAAATCTTCAAATGATATGGTATCTGTTATTTGCTCCAGTTCTTTGTCCGAAGACGGTTGGTCCGTGCTGAGTTTCATTCGCTCGAAGACATTTTTAACCATTAATCTTAGAAATCGATTGTTTTCAGCTAAGAGTACAGATATTTCTGAACAAGTCTGGCAGAAGTTATAGCAGCTATATCAAAGTCGATTTCCCAAGGCTCTCTTTAAAAATACGGCTTGAATTTTTAGCTAAACGTTTTTGTTTTGTAGAAATTTACGGTGTTGTTTTCTGAAAATTCGGGTAAACCCATGATTTTTTCTGACAGTTCCAGAAATATTTACGTCTTAAAAACACCTCGCTAGCCATTAATAGCAGCTATTACCCTACCTGATTATAGTATCCAGCATTCTTTTATCTCGCCACATAATGGTGCTTGTTTGGTCAAAATAAGTTTTTGGTAGTAAATCTGGAGCTACAATCTCCAGGAAACAAGACTGGGCTATGGTATATCGATACCGTGCACTGCCCAGACCACATGCTTCCTATCTCACGGCTGCATCTAGAATATCTATAGGAATACAGGGCATTATATTTGGGTCCGGCTGGTCTGAAGGATTATCGGAAGTTTTTCAGGAATAATAGGCAATTGTCTTCGAAGCTCCACTCTAAATTTTCTTTCTGGATTTTCTTCCATAGTCTTTTCCATGTCATAATATGGCCGCAAAGCAGCGAAGGTTTAAAAACAGTCATTCTTCCACTACATGAACTGCCTTTCTGGGCTAGCAAGCTCTATCTACCCGAACAAGCTGGTTATGAGGCGCCAGTGGTCCGACTTCGTTCATTTGGAGAGAACTTAAATGCCTGAAGCTATTTGAGACATGGTACGAGAGCATTTTATAGACAGTGGGAGCTTGTCCCCAGTACTATCTGATGTTCGTCCTGGGGAAGACGATAAACTACATCCGCGTCCTGGGTAAGAGGTTGAATTACATCCGACAGCAAGACCTCTGATCAGGAGGTTTTGGAAAGGTGGAACCACCTCAATTGCTGGTGTTCCCAGGTCCACCCTGACCAGGGCTGGTAGCATCTGATAGGGTACCAACTATGGGCGAATAGTTAACGCCCCCAAAAAAATTATTACCAGCAACAAATTTTTGAAGAAAAAATTATTACCAGAAATACATTTTTGAAAAAATTATTACCAGCAATAAGAACCTTGCCGGCATTAAATAACCCATTGAGGTTGAAATGCCGTAAAATAAAGCAAGACAAACCAAACCAAATCATCTAATGATATGATATTATTAATCATAAAGCATTTTAGCTTTCTTGGAAATGCATAATTTTTTGGGGGTGGTGGTTGGGGGTAACTTTCCTGTACGTTTTTTTTTTTATCATTTCACCTAAAACAAAAAAAAAGTTCATGAAGGTGCAAGGGTGTTACAATGTGTGGGAAATATGAGGGTAGAAAACATTATTAATGAGAGAAAACAATGAAATAACAGGAACTAAAAGACAGAAGAAAAGGGTTGACATTGCATTTAAATTGTTAAAGATCAAATTTGATTGGAGAAGCAAGGAGCCGGAAGAGAGTACCACAAACGAGAAGTGCGAGAGAAGAAACCGCTAGCATAGAACTTACGGTTACATCTAGTCATTTCAACACTAAAATAATGATACCTATCCGGCAATCTAGTACTGCGCTTAAATTCATAAATCTAATTCTCAAAGAGGAAATTATTAAAAAGTTTAACCATTGCTACCAAAACAATTCTGTTAAGGAGAAGGTACAATAAAACAACTTTATTTTAGAAGACAGAAAATAACGTATGGTTAAATCTACTCATTTCAACTGTAAAACGATGAGACCTATCCGCCAATGTAGTACTGTGCTTAAATTCCTAGTCTAAGTACCATAGAGGATAGCAAATTAGAACAATTACCGTAAAAGTATTTATAGAAAAGAACACAGGGAACTACGTTATGTCGGTGGGAAAGTGACTGACGCTGAAATGCCAAGTCAGGACAAATAATATTGCAGATTCTTCTTTGGATTTTATCAAGTATCTCTAAATATATAGCAGAAACACTGGACCATATGTAACAGCAATATATAAAGTACTGGCGAATGGTAGATACAGTGCATTGCAAAAGTCTACACCCCCTTGAAAATTAAATGTATTATGTTTATGTTGATAGAAAAAATTAATATTTTAAACTGCAATAATTTGTTTTAATAAGCAGATCTATCACCCTTTTATTTAATGTACAAAAATTTTTTGAAAAATTTAAAACTGATTCTTAAACAAAGATAATTTTGAAAAATGTCTTTGCAAAAGTCTACACTCTCTTTTGAATGTCTTCAGCTTATACTTTGTGGATGAACCTGCTGCGTCAATTACAGCCTGCAGACGCCTCGGGTAGCCTTCCATGAGCTTGCTGCAGTGGTCTGCTGACAGTTCTTGCCATTCTTTATGGCAGAACCTCTCGAGCTGTGTCAGATTGGATGGGGAATGTTGGTGCACAGCCAGCTTTAGATCTCGCCATAGATTTTCTATAGGATTGGGGTCTGCAGACTGGCTGGGTCACTCTAAAACTGTGATTTTTTTGCTAGAAAAGCTTTTTGACACATGCTTGGGGTCGTTATCTTGTTGAAACTTGAAATTGCAACCGAAGCGCAGAGCCCTAGCAGACTTCAACAGGTTTGCTTCCAATATTTCTTGGTACTTGACACTGTCCATGACATTACTCCAAGCCCTGCAACTGAAAAACAGCCCCAAAGTATGATTGAGCCATCGCCCTGCTTTACAGTGGGGACAGTGTAATGAGGTTGGTGAACAGTACCTTTTTTTCTGCCAAACTTAGTGTTTCGTATTCTTTCCAAATAACTCGAAGTTGGTCTCATCTGACCACAAAATCTTTCGCCACATGGTCATGGAATTATTGATGTGACTTTTGGCAAAGTTTATCCTAGCTTGCTTGTGCATAGGTTTCAGAAGGGGATTTTTTCTAGCTACCCTCCCTTGCAGATCAGATCGGTACAATACTCTGGAAATTGTAGATGCATGGACATCTTTCCCGGTACTGGAAACTGAAGCTTTCAAGTCTTCCAGTGTTGCACTAGGGTTGGAGGTTGCCTCCCAGACCAGTTTTGATTTTGCTCTTCTGGTAAGTTTGCTCGGTCTCCCATATCTAGGTAGGGTAGCGGTGGTTTTGTGCACTAAGCATTTCTTAGCTACAATTTTAATAGTGCAGTTCTCAAGATTTTTAATGTTTTTATAGCCATTATTTTTATTGTACTTTTGAATAATAAGGTTTTTAATTTCCTGAGACAAAGGCTTGCCCATTTTCTTTCCCAAGTTGGACACCTTGTGTTTACAGTCAGAGTCCAAAGACCAACATACCAAGAAACCACATGGTGGATGATTTTGTAGGCACTTAAATCACCTTATATAGCAAAATAATAGACTGACCAAGTTTTTTTGTTATGGTAGAACACACATGTCACTTTTGATTGTTCTGGATTGTATACATCAATGATAAACTACGTGATAACACAGTATAATATCTGGGGGGGGGTAGACTTTTGCAAAGAGATTTTTCTAAGTTATATGATTTTAAGAATCAATGTGAAATTTTTAAAATGTAATTTTTATATTAAAGGAAAGTGTGATGGATCTGCTTATTATTTAACAATCATTGGAATTGGAAAAAAAACGTGTTGTTCCCTGTTAAATTATACAAAATATATAAATTTTCAAAGTGGGTGTAGACTTTTGTAAATCACTGCAAATTCTGGCGAGAAAAATTGTCTAGCTCGACACACTGAACCCACTTTCATAGCGGGCAATAAAAGAACACTTTCTAAGAAGACAGAAAGAAGACAGAATTATATTCCAATTTTTGAAGATCAAAGTTGACTGTAAAGCAAGAAGCCGGAAGAGAGTTCCACAGGCGAGAAGTGCAATAAAAGAAACTGTTAGCATAAAAATTACGGTTGCATCTAGTCATTTCAACTATAAAATGATGGGACCTTTCTGCCAATCTAGTACTGCGCTTAAATTCATAAATCTAAGTAGTATAGAGGAATGTATTAAAAAGTTTAACCAACACTAACAAAACAATTCTGTTTAAGGAACGTGGACAATAAAAGAACAATATTTAAGAAGAGAGTAGATATCGACTGGAATTATATTTAAATTTTTGAAGCTCAAAACTGACTGGAAACCAAGAAACCTGAAGAAAGTTCCACAGGCGAGAAGTACGACAGCATAGTACAGAATATATATGATTGAGTTCGGACACGGCTGGATTCGAGTGCTGTTTTCCACGTTTATCAAGTTATCCCCATTTCTAACCTAGGCGCACGCTAATCTTTATTTCCACCCAAACTGGCCTTGGGAGAGGCTAAACTAACCTCAGTAAACATCTTTATATATATATATATATATATATATATATATATATATATATATATATATATATATATATAGTGTAATCGTTTGTTTTCTCCGTTTTATGTCTGAGTCATTTAAAATTTATTTCTATTTTCAGTAGTATACATTTTCATTGATGCAGCACATGCTCTTACGTCATTCTAACTACTAGCAGCGTTTTTGGTTTGTTTGTGAAAGAAATACGACGCAAGTATTTCTTTTCCCTTTGCTTTTAAACAAATGCTACAAAAAAAAATTATCAAACCTCATTGACTTCCTTTCTTTTCAACATCATTTCTTTTCATTTTCCATTTATTTAAAAAAAAGAAATAAAAACTTCTAGCCTTAAGGAAAACAAGAAAAGTATACATAGTTCAAGTCTCGTCCCTCCCTTAATAATAGAAAAATACAATTTTCCTCTTGCTTCTTACATATTCGTTCTTAATTAACACATCTTGCCAAAATACAATCGAACAAATACCTCTCGATATCTGATAGGTGTTAGTTAACCACCATCCACTTATAACATCTATTTACTTTAAATAATGGCGAGAAATAATTGGCAAGCATTCAGCTTCCAATGTCATGAACTTATTTCGGTCAGAAGAAGATCAAGATCTCATTTTAATTAGTATTTATTCCAAATGTTTATTGTATGAATCTTTTTGCCGGCAAAACGGCAAGGGGTCTATCTCGAGTCAAAAGCGTTGTTTCTGGTTAAAGTGTAAAAACAAATATCTATTTAGACGACACACATATGAATGAAAGAACAGAATTTTATATATAGAATAAAAATAAAAATAAAATGCAGAAAACTATTATTATTTTCATTTAATTTTTAAGTTTTAATTTGTCCCTGAAGATTTCTATGTGCACAAAACTTTAAGTAACATCCAAGGGACAGATATGCAAACACACAAACACACACACACACACATACAAACACACACAGGTACACACACACACACACACACACACACACACACACACATATATATATATATATATATATATATATATATATATATATATATATATATATATAAAAGGAAAGAACAGTAACATATATAATCCGGTGTTCTTGTTATTTTTTATTTTTATTTTTACAAAACAGTGCTCACTGTAAATTTATAGAGCATAAATATTATAAATAAACTGATTTAAAATATGGTTTTTCGCTACACAGTAATAACCATATTTTAAATAGGTTAATTAATATATATATATATATATATATATATATATATATATATATATATATATATATATATATATATATATATATATATATGGCAAGGTCAAATCAGTCGGGCTTCGGTCCCGGCTTGAAGAAATCGGATGCCTAGCCAACACTGAGCAGCTTTGATACAGCGAAACAGTCTGTCTGTGGATGACTATATAACACTCTTCATTAATGAATTGAGCACTCCGGCTGCTGGCGTTTGTATGCATCGCCGATAGCTTAGGGGTAGGACTGATGCCAAGTTGGTCGGTTTTGATCCCGGCAGGAAGTAATCGGATGTCTAGCTTACATTTGGATGTCTCTCTCTCTCTCTCTCTCTCTCTCTATATATATATATATATATATATATATATATATATTATATGGTGCAAAAATAATGACGTAATAAAGTCGTTTTTGACGTTATTATTACGTCATTATTTTGCACCAACCTAATATATATATATATATATATATATATATATATATATATATATATATATATATATATATATATTTTGTATAGGGTTAGCAGATCGTTATTCAAACATATATTGTTAAATATAACAGACAATGAACGGCTAAAGTGGAAATAAAGACAAAAAATGTACAACATTTGGATATTTTTATATTATGCTGTTTCATGATCTAAGCTTTCGGCTCCCATGAGCCATCTTCAGAGTGGTTATATGGACATTTAAACAAAGATATTCACCATCAAAGATGATATTCTGTCATGTTGACGTAGAATATGTTGAAGATGACGGTCGCGGAATAGCAGACACATGTAAATTCATGATGTTTTTCTATGACGTCGTCCCACGCGAGAGACCGAAATATTAACAACTGAACCATATGTCTAGTATATGTGCATGTGTGTGTATGTATATACTTGATTTTGACCCCCGGGGCCCACTTTTGTATTTACACACACACTATTTCTGATCTTGAGCTATTTTACCCATAAATATATAGCATACCTTAAACCGATATTATATATATATATATATATATATATATATATATATATATATATATATACTTTTGCACAGCACTGTTTATAAATTCCAGTTGTATAAGGTCTTTTTTTTAGTTTTTACAGGCTTTCGTCTGTTCCTACAGACATCCTCAGGTATGGAAATAGATTTGCTCTGGGTATTAATAATCAGTTGTTTGCACGTCTAAAAAGCAGTGGAGAACTTAAAAAGAAAGAATTCAATATAACAATTTAATTGGATCTTAAATGTGTTTTCAAAAATGAGGAGAACATTTTCAACAGCACATACATTTTTCATGTTCCAATTATACTTCTAATAAAGTATTCTTATGATACAAATGCGCAACTTTTGCCTCAGCATATATATATATATATATATATATATATATATATATATATATATATATATATATATATATTAAAAATGTTTTCTTAAATAATATGGATAATTTCTGTCCATTTTTTTCATAAAATCTTTTCAAATTTTACGAATAAGTTCTTTTGTTTTTTATCATTATTTGCCAAAGTTCATATCAATAAATGAATAATAAATTAAAAAAAAAAAATTCTTCTAAATAAATAAGCGCCAAAGTTTGTCTGTCCTTCTGTGTGTCTGAACCTCCTTCAAACCCGGTCCACTCTTCCTCTACATAGATATACCTTTTTGGAATCAGGATGATTTCAGGATTGGAAATCTGCCTTTCATCTGGTGCTTAAACATCCAGAATTGGAATTTGTGTTCAGATGAGGAGAGAACAATTCAGAATTAAAATTTTAATATATCTGAAATATTTAGTGATTTTAAAGTTTTTAA